GAGTCTATGTTCCGGTTATTCTGCGCTGTTCTTTGCCAGACAGCTCCACAGCTCTCAGGCTTAGTGACAGGAAGGCCTCTTACTTCTGCTTTGAGATCAGTGGGATTTGCCTCCTCCATTTTTTAATCTGCTCAGCTTTCAGCTCTCAAAGGAACTCTCCATTCTCTCGGCAATCTGTCTCTTCTTGCAAAACCAGCAGGGACTGAGGTGTTGGTGAAAAGCCACATCTGTCACAAGCTGCAAGTTCTTCCACCTTCTTCCTATAAGAAAGACATGAATATTGAGAATGAAAGGGGCACTAAAGATAAAGGGTATGTGTATTTTTGTTATGTGCCATCATATTGGCTCTGACGTATGGCAACCCTATGAACGATGGATCTCCAAAATGTCCGTCCTCCACTGCCCTGCTCAGCTCTTACAAATTCAGCCCTGTGGCTTTCTTTAGAGAGTCAATCCACCTCATCTTTGGCCTTCCTCTTTTCCTGCTGCCGCCCACCATTTCCAGCATGATTTTCTTTTCCGGAGAATCCTGCCTTCTCATGATGTGCACAAAGCAGGACAGCCCCAGCTTCAATACTTCTTGCCTTCAGTACGCATTAAACCAAACAATCTCTTCTTTGATACTGTTTTCCTTTCTTCCATTGCCTTCATTTCTTGTCTCTACAGCAGAATGGAAGCTGGAGAATAAAGAATATGAAGACTTCAAGCTGCCCTGCCTGATTTTTCACCCTCTAATGTAGAGATCCAAGTCTCCCCAATGCTTCTGTTCCCTTTTGTGCCCTTGTAGATGGCCTAATAAAAACACCTATTACCTCCCCCATTAAAATACTCACTGGGTGATAAACCAGACCCCCTCGGAAAGAGAATAAAAGGCGCCACAACAGCTCTAGCTCCTGCTGGCGGAACGGGAAAATGGGAGGCTGCATTGGCGAGGGGAAAGGTAGACAGCGTTGCACTCACTTTTTGTGCCATTCTAGGAAGCCACGCTCTATCATCCTTTTAACCCTCAGAAAGACCTTATTCCGCAACGGGTGAGCCAATGTGGGTTTCCGGACTACAAAACCCAGGCTACGCTGTGGTGGGAATTCTGAGACATGTAATCCGGAACCGAACTCGCTTAGCGTACCCAGCCTAGAAGAACGCATCCCTCTCCCTTCTCCTGTCCACTCCTGGGTTACCTGAGGACAACAAGGACATTCCTAGAGAGAGAGGAAGGGGGGGGAAATTTAAAGAAGGCGGGACTTCCGGAGGAAACGTCCTCTCCCTTTAACAGTCCGATTCCTCCAGCGGAAGTGGGCGCTGAGATACCACAGAGGCCTTTGGTGAGGTTCTCTCCATACCCCACTTGTGGGGCTTGGAGGGCGGGAACGTGGGCCGGTGGTGGGCGTGGAAGGAGGGAAAGGATTCCCCAGTCTCAAACCCATCGGGGCTGATAAAGAGGGAGGGACTCGTAAATCACGCGGTTCTTCACCCCCCCCCACTCCATCCACACACACACCGTTTCATGCTATAGGGAGGGTGGGCTTCGCCGCCCATCCCAGGCTCTGGGAACGTGGCTTTGTTTTGGACTACAACTCCCATAACCTTCAGCCGGCGTGGCCATTTTTTCCGCTGGGGAATTCTGGGAGTTGTAGTCCAAAAGGAAGCCACGTTCCCAGGTTGAGGCGGATTCCTATAAGAGTCCCGCCTTCTCTTACCTCTACAACATACAACCGCCCCCCCTCAAATCAGAAGGAGCTAGATGTGGTCAGGCCTGGGAGGGGGGAAAAAACAGAAAAATTGGGGAAAACAAGAGTTTTTTTCCCCAGTTTTACCAAAGCTGTTTTTTTTTCTATAAAGATTGGGAAAAAATGTAGAATATGGTGTTTTATAACGATAAACTATTTGTTTGTTTGTTTGTTTGTTTGTTTGTTTGTTTGTTTGATTGATTTATACCCCGCCCATCTGGTCTTCCGATGGTGACCTTCCAAATACACTTGAGGGAGAGTAGAAGCAGGACCAGCTAAGGGAAGGCTCGCTAGAAACAGAGGCAGGGAGCATCCTGGATGTCTCTATCTATTGCCCACCTCTCTCGGTCTGAACGAATCTCTTCCCCATTTGCTTCAGCGAAGATAAGGCCGGCACCAAACCAGACCAGAGGCCCATCTAGGCCGGCCCCCCGTTTCCTACCTTGGCCAGCTAGGTGTCTCTTGGTAAGCACACATGGAAGATGCAACCGGGATGTCTCTATTTTGTCTTTTTTTCCTGCAAAAACTGGTATTCGTGCATGATATATGGCTGAACTTGAACTAATATCAAATGGTCTCCATCTCCTCCACTGGTAAACCCTTCACTAGAATTTAAATTCTGTGTTAGAATTCCCAATAATCTCTCTCTGTAACTAGCTATTTGGGGTGGGTTGGTGTATATTCTCTATAAGATCTGTGAGGAGAAAAGGCATTCTTTTTTCTTCCAGGAAGTTGCTGAGTGATCCATCAAAAAGGACGCGGCCGCTGCAGGATTCTGCCCAGAGATCCTTGTGGAGGAAGGTCATGGAAAAGGTCTGTGAGATCGTGGTGACTCTTGGTAAGGCTCTTTCCTCCTTTCCCTGGCTGATGGATCAATGTGAGAGGTTATGGTGGTAATATCCCCCAACCCCTATTCATCTAGTTGAAGTCATGGTAGCATACACAACCAACGTAAGAGGCGTTAAATGGAATCAACAAGGAAAAGACTGTGGTTACATTGTTGTTGTTTAGTCGTTAAGTCATGTCCACCTCTTCGTGACCCCCATGGACCAGAGCACGCCAGGCCGTCCTGTCTTCCACTGCCTCCTGGAGTTTGGTCAAATTCATGTTGGTCGCTTCAATGACACTGTCCAACCATCTCGTCCTCTGTCGTCCCCTTCTCCTCCTGCCTTCCCACTTTCCCAACAGCAGGGTCTTTTCCAGGGAGTCTTCTCTTCTCATGAGAGGGCCAAGAGATTACACCTAAGATTACACAAATGGAAGTGTGGATGATACTTTTAATTGAATAAAATTTTTTTAATGTATTGCAAGCTTTCATGGAAGCATCTCGGTTCCTCAGGCCAGCCACCATCCCTTCATGGATCATGCAGCAAAATGGTAGAGTCAAAAATACTGGTGGTAAATCTCTGTGAGAGGTGATCTCAAATGACTCTGGTTTCAAAAGGCACTTGTGGGGGGTCCCGTGTCTCAGGAGCCTTTCCTTGCAGCGTGGTTTGGAATTTTTACACCTTACTCTTAAAATGGAAAGGTCGGGGGGCACCAGGCACTCACATTGCCTGCTTGGAAACATGAAGTTTCTTTTTGGATGTGGGGCTGGGAAGAAAGCAACACAAAACAGAGGAGATGACAAACAGAAGGAACATCTTTTGAATCCTGAGTCATCTTTCGAAACCTGAATCCTCGGAGGCCACCTTCCGTCCACCCACCTGACTCGTGTGTCCTGCCCTAAGTGGCAGGAATCTCATGGACGCCTCTCTCATGCCTGGGGTGTCAAAATGCTCTTCGAAGATCATTTTACCCCATGATGGCATTTCGGGTGTTTTGCACTCTCACTTCCAATCTTATTTCAAGGCAGCCCCATCAAAAAATGTGTTCAGGGTGGTCCTGCTGTTTGACTCATGGCCATTGAGCCCCTGCCCTGTATGTTGTGACCACAAGAGAAAGGCCACAAGAGAAACGATCCAGCAGAGTAATGTTGTAAAATGACAGGTTCATTTTTCTCTGGCAGGGACCAATCTCTTTGGGTACCCGGAGAGAGAGAGAGAATTACCACAATCTGACACAAGAATTTGGATTTTATAATTTAGGGTTTTATTGAAAGATACTAGTTTCTGCAGAAGGGTGACAAGATGTGATCGGGTTCTTCTACTTTTTGGGGCAACCCCTCATTTTCAGCAGGGAATGACAACAGAATTGTTTTGATAACTTTCAAACTTTCCTCCTCCAGCACATTACTTATCGGGTCAAAAACTTTTAACTCAGACAAGCCACAACTGACTGAACTAAAACTTTTGCCATAGTTCTGGGCACTCAACGGGGAGACCCCCCCATGCCATCCTTTGTACAGTGGTGCCTCGCTTAACGATTGCCCCGTATTTTGACAAATCTGCTTTACGACAATCTTTTTCAATCGCAAAATGATGGTCTAAATGGGGGAATTTCGCTTAGCGATGATCAGTTCCCTGCTTCGGGAACTGATTTTCGCTTTACGATGATCAAAAACAGCTGATCGTAAGGTTTTCAAAATGGCCACCTGTTGCTTAAAATGGCTCCCCGCTGTGCTTAGGGACGGATTCCTTGCTATACAGGCAGCGAAAATGGCCGCTGTATGGAGGATCTTCGCTGGACGGTGAGTTTTTACCCCATTGGAACGCATTAAATGGTTTTCTATGGGTTTTTAAATTTCACTTTACGATGTTTTCGCTTAACGGCGATTTTTCTGGAATGGATTATCGTTGTTAAGAAGGCACCGCTGTGCTCCAATTTTTCTGGAATGGATTATCGTCGTTAAGAAGGCACCGCTGTGCTCCGGTCTTGGGGGAGGAGTACTCCGTAGGGCACAGATCGTCTCACAACATGCGTGTCGCACCGACCCTCTTTCGTCCGGCTTGTTGCAGAAACAGTTGTGGGAGATCTCTAACTTGCGCTGCAACTCGAGCTCACGCTGCACCGCAATTACGATCCACTCCCTTGTTGTATAATGCGCAGGTCTCACTTCTTGTGTCCCAGGTTCTGGCAGCAGTCCTCCGACTTGAAGATTCGGGAAGTCTTTCATAAGGCTTTGAGTTCTTATTTTCTCAAAATGCCTTTTTACAAGCTTCATCTCTTTTTCTTTCATACTCTGCCACAACTGAACTAAACCATCTCACCCCTTCCTCATTTATATCTTCTTCCCAAACTGACACCTCTTGCTCCGCCCACTCTCCCTCTTTCATCTCCTCAGCTAAGCAAATCTCTGTCTTTCCCGCTTTTTCTTTTAGTTCTAATTCTCCCGCCTTTTCTTTAACTGTCACTTCTCTTGTCTTTGGTCTTCCCCTGTTTGTCTCTCCTCCTCCTCCTATGTCCTCTACTATTAGGGATGGTAATAATGGGTCTCTCCTTGAGGGCAGATTTCCATCTGCCCTGAAGGACACACTCATTAGGCCCATCAGGAAGAAACCTAGTTTGGCGGCAGATGAAATTGGCAATTATAGACCCGTCGCCAACGTTTCTTTCTTAAGCAAGGTGGTTGAGAGGGTGGTGGCCGATCAGCTTCAAGTGCTTCTGGATGAAACGGATGCCCTGGGTCCATTTCAGTCGGTCTTCAGGCTGCGCCATGGTACAGAAACGGCATTGGTCGCCCTATGTGATGACCTACTGGGGGAGGCTGACAGGGGCAAAGTGTCTCTGCTGGTCCTCCTCGACATCTCAGCGGCCTTTGATACCATTGACCACGGTATCCTCCTGGGGAGGCTCTCCGAGTTGGGAATAGGCGGCCTGGCATTGGCCTGGCTCTGTTCCTTCTTGGAGGACCGTCCCCAGAGAGTTCAGCTTGGGGAGAGTGTCTCAGCCCCATGGAGCCTCAATTGTGAGGTTCCGCAGGGGTCGATTATCTCCCCAATGCTGTTTAACATCTATATGAGGCCGCTGGGTGGGGATGTCAGGGGGTGTGGAGCCTTGTGTCATCAGTATGCGGATGACACTCAGCTCTACATCTCCTTTTTGCCAACCACAGGAGATGCCGTTCTGTGCCTCCAGCGCTGCCTGGAGTCCGTACTGAAATGGATGCAGGAGAAGGGGCTGAGGTTGAACCCGGACAAGACGGAGGTGCTGAGGGTAGCCCCCCCACAGTTGGGGATTTGGGAAACTCCTTCTCTTTTGGGGGGGTGACTCTGCCCACCAAGGATGGGGTCCGCAGCTTGGGGATCCACCTGGACCCAGCGCTCACTATGGAAACAGGTGGCGCCGGTGGTCCGCACCGCCTTTTCTCATCTCAGGCGGATAGCCCAGCTGCGGCCCTATCTTGATGTGGGGGCGCTCACTACCTTGGTACATGCGCTCGTAATCTCAAGATTAGACCACTGTAATGCGCTCTACGTGGGGC